TGCTGTCAGGGGTGTGGCCTAATAAGATAATACGTTTCTGCTGTTGGGTGTGGCCAGTTATGCTAATGAGTTCCTGCTGGGCTTTTTCTACAAAAAAAGCCCTGCCAGTAACCTTTGTCTTGTGTGTCGCTACAGATGTAATTCTCTTGTGCTTGGCTGCTGGAAGCTCCACTGTCACACCGCAGGGGTATGGTAGGCCCCCAAATCCGTCTCACACTCTACAATGTATCCATCTCTATCACTAGAAAGTCTCAGTACTTTTCACACTCTATACTTACTCTCAGTGTCTAGGCATGTTAATAATGCATCTTCTTCATGTATTGTCAGTGGCATCATTCACATTCACGTGATGCTGCTTGAGCTATAAGCAATAGGCTGGATTTAAGCCATTCATTGGAAGGGCTGGAGTTATACCAGACAAGATGCTCTTCTTTGTAAATATAGAAAGTTCATTGAAAACAGAGAGTTGCCTCTCCACAAAGACATGGCTGATGTGGGCCTATCCAAAGATCCGGACACCCAGCAATAAGATCTGCACAAATCCTGCAATCACAAAATGTTGATCTAGGGAATGAATGGTTGTGAATACGGGCACAATCAGTTTCACCAGATATACATAACCTGCAGGATTTGACTTGCCACGTAAAGTATGGAAGATGGCTAATAGAATACGAATACGAACAGGCGTTGGCAGTTGTGCAGACCTGTTGTTTAAATGGAGCAATATACCGGGACCCGAATGCAATTATGATACAGCCCGCCAAACTATTTTCCATCTGTCCCGGGAATGTAAGTGTCATGCCCAGGTGTGCAGAGAAATCTGAAAAAATATATAGGGGGGAATAATTAAATCCCCCCAAAAGTAAAAGAACATCCCCTGCGCATGCGCAGGGAATGCTCTTAGAACAGCTTCGCTGCCGCCACCACCAGAGAGGGGGAGGGGTGGGGGGAGAAGGCTTGGCCGGCCAGCGACTGTAAGCCGCTCAGCCCTCGCCACCACCCGGGGAGGAGGGAGAAAGTTTGGCGGGCCAGCGAGGCCTCGCTGCCGCTGGGGAGAGGAGGAGGGAGAAAGTTTGGCAGGCCAGCGAGGCCTCGCCACCACCACTGAGGGTGGTGGGGGGAGGAGACAGCTTGGCAGGCCGGCGAAGCCTCGGTGCCACTGGTGCCACCGCCAGGGCGGCAAGGGAGGGATAACGTTCGGCGGGCCAGCAAGGCCTAACCGCCACTAGGGGAAGGAGGAAGCTTGGAGGGGCACGGGCCTTGCCGTGGGTGACGAAGACGGGGGCGGGGACAGGGGAGAAGGCTGACCTGCGGCTGCTTCCTTCTCTTGTGGAGCTTCTTCCCCCCCCCTGAGTATCGCGGGTCCCCCTTGTGTGTGTGTGTATGTATGTATAGATAGATAGATAGATAGATAGATATTCAACGTTTTGAATCTCTCTGTTATCTTGGTGTCTACAAGGTGTGGTGGAATATCATCAGCAAGTTTGCAAGGCATGGGAAAGTTAGTTCTAGTTGCCCCCAGTAAATACCACTTGTATGTTATAGCACCAAACTTGTGAATGTGTAATTAAAAAACCCCAACAACACTAGGAAATTAAACATGTGTCACTGGCATAAAATACCATGGAACCCATTATCAATATAATGTTTATCTTCTTTCCAGATGTTGAAGCATGGTCGTGCTGGTGTTCCCATGGAAGTTATGGGTCTGATGCTTGGAGAATTTGTTGATGACTATACTGTCAGAGTGATTGATGTGTTTGCTATGCCACAGTCAGGAACGGTAAGTACTCTTTAGTGAGTAAATGTGTTTTGTCACACTAGGTAACTGTACATCAAGATTTTTCTTCCTCCACATGCGCAATAGTTGTGAAAAAGATATTGATGTCTGGAATGCATATATCCTGGCCTGTAAGAGATGCTGGTGATCTATGCCAGCATTTAACAGTTTCAGTTTTAATCCTTTAGCGAATATAGTTGTACACTCTCTAGTGGTGTGGCCCATGCAGGTTTGCAGCTAGATGTCTTCAGCTGCATTAAGTTATGATACTTATGATAACAGAGGCAGCTGCCAACAGCCCAAGACTACATTGGATCAAAATTATACAGTATCCCTTGCGGCAACACTGAATCTGTTTCTTAGACTCTCCCAACAAGAGCCCAACTTGTGTTGCAGTCGTTTCTGTTGCGAAGGGTTATTCATTAGTACCAAACTGTCTCAAACACACACAACACATGGAGAGTAATCAGTTCTGCTTAGATAAGGTTTGGGAATCTATAGCTTTTGGGGGTCTAGTTCCAAATGGTGTGATCTAAAAGGGTACAGTCTGTTTAATAAATGATTGGACTACCATTTGCTCGCTTTACAAGGATAGGCTCATAAATTTGACTGCAGATTCTACTTTACACAACATCCTAGGCAATCATTATGATTGCAAAAAGAGGTGGCGTTAGCGTTAGTTCCAACCACTTAGCAAATGTCAATGTTTCTGGGAGGAAGAGGAAATCCTCCTACGTTGGCATTGCTTCTGGGAGCACCCTAGGTCAGGATATGTGTGTGTGTGTGTGTGTGTGTCTGCAGTGCTGAAAAACAATCGGACCATGTGTTGACTGTCTTTTTTTAAGCTGGTTGTGCTGTTCGCTGGTCAAATATTGTCAATTGACTGCTTATTTGAGTGCAGTCAAGTTTTTCATAAAGTAAAAAAATGCTACTGTGTAGCTAACATCTGGCCTTTTTATTTTACTGGTAGCAATGGCAGGACTGAGGGCTTCATGTCCCTTAGCTCTGCAGCAGTTGGGGGCAAATCTGTTATTTGTTGAGAAAGCAATATCCATCCTTTCTTCTAAAGTAGCGCTTAAGATAGTGTACAGGTAACTTAGAGTAAAATACTTACATTACGAAAGCTAAAACAAGAAAAATGAAACACTGCAAGCAGTAAAACCACCATCAGTCATAAAATTGCAGTAAATAACAGAAAACGGAATAAGCCGGCAAACACCAATAAAAAGGATTCATAATCCTAAATTAGGCAAAGTCAATTGATTCTCCATCTTCAAATGCCCTCCTGGGTGGGAGAGCAGAATCTTTATATATTTCTGCCTGGTGATCCTTTCTGAGAACTCCTTCATGAGAGGTGTCTGGGAGCTCCAGCTAATGCAGCACAGCAAAATGTTTTCCACTGTGCTGTAATTGCAGGCATCTCCAAACAGGAGCAAAAGCAAAAACATGGTAAAATCAGGTGGGTAGCCGTGGTCTGAGCAGGCATCTCCAAACAGGAGCAAAAGCAGTCACACATGGTAAAATCAGGTGTGTAGCCGTGTTGGTCTGAAGCAATAGAACAAAGTTTGTGTCCAGTGGCGCCTTAAAGATCAACAAAGTTTAATTCAGGGTACAAGCTTTCATATGTATGCACACTTCGTCAGGTATCTACTGCTTCAAATAGCTGAAGCGGTGTAAAGCTTATACCCAGAATTAAACTTTGTTGGTCTTTAAGATGCCACTGGACTCTCAGACTTTACCCTTGGTAAAAGTCACTGATTTGGACCACCAGCTACTCTGCCTGGCTTGCTGCAGGAAACAAGGAGTAGACCCTCTACATTATCTGACCATGTATTCTGCAACAGTCCTGTGAGGGGTGGGATATGGATCTAAAAAAGCATTGGCCTATTGCTTAGTTAGGACAACTTCTTCTGAAAATTACTTTCAGTTCCATTGCTTTTTCGTTTTTAATTTCACCTAAAGGGTTTTTTCTTTTTAAAAGCATTGGCCTATTGCTTAGTTAGGACGACTTCTTTTGAAAATTGCTTTTTCATTTTTAATTTCACCTAGGGTTTTTTCTTTTGGTAAGTGTAGGCTAACGGGTCATATTCCTGGGTAAACGATAACTTTTTGATGAATCATTAGCATTTATAGTAATGTAATATTGTCTTATCAGTTTTTAATGTAATTTCATGAATTTGTAGTAATTTATAGTAACAGTCAATTTGGGTTTTTTTTGTAAAATAAGTATCACACTTGTCAGTAATTAAAATATCATGCTTTAATGGTAGTTGACCATTATTTGTCAGTACTTGATCAATGATTTGAGTGGTCAATTGACTTTTTTGGGGGGTCCAATCAAATGTCCAATGAACCCCTATTCTCTGTGTTTTAATGGGTGCTATACCATCTCAGGGTGTTGTAGTGTATCATGTAGTGTATCATGAAGTTCTTGTAAACAAGTGGTCTTTTTCTCTCTTACATATGTGGCAATGGACTCTGTGCTAGAATAGTCGCTTCCCTGGTCTATTTTTCCTGGTGATCTATGTTCTCCAGGCTTTTACTTGGGATGAGCAGCAAGACGGAAGCTGGGTTGGTGGTAGACATGACCACTCAGCAAAACAAGAAGAGAGAGACTGAATGTGGCACACACTGCTTGTCTGAATATTGACAGTGTCCTTGCCCAAACAGAGGCCAACCCTTTTTAAGTTGCAGGGAGCTTTGACTCTCAGAAGCTTATTATTACCCTGAAAAATCTTGTTGATTGCTAAGGTGCTGCTGGACTCGGATATAGCTGTTCTGCACACCCACATGGCTCCCCCCTTAAAACTTTTTATAAGTAAATGATCTAAAAGTCTTGTTGTAAGTGACAGGTATGTTAGATCTGTCTGTAATTGCCTCTCTTACTTTCCCCACATCTAGGGGGTCAGTGTCGAGGCTGTTGATCCTGTGTTTCAAGCCAAAATGTTGGATATGTTAAAGCAGACTGGAAGGTAAGGACCTTCTTAGTTGGCATTTCTGGAATGTAGTAATCCCTGATGCCTTGTGTTCTCTTGCATTATTTGTCAGTGTTGAGATCTAAGTCGTGGGTTTGATCCAACATCACTAAGAGAATATGCTGTGTAAGCCTAATTATGAGCATGAGTATTTATGAGAACCCACAGCCCGTTGTTCCCGGCTATGTACTTTGAGGCTCCATTTATGGTTGGCACTGTTGCATACCTTGAAGCAATCTTTTCCACTTTTGTACTAATTCAGCACAAAGGGGACTGCCACCACCTTAAAATCTGAATTTTCAGTTCTGGTGCCCCCTGCCCCTCAGAGCAAAGGTTACCCGGTAAAAAGGCATCCAAATATTTAAACAAATTTTGTTACTTCACTTGTGCGATCTCAACAGTTGTCATTTGCTTGCTCAAATTCTTACACTGTGGCAAAAACTTCAAAATTAATGTTAACAAAAGACTCAACAGCTGAGCTGAATAGTGCAAATTGCTTTTTGACCGAGTCATAGTTCTACTGCTGGTTTAATTAATATTTAATCTTTCCCTGCCGTTTGTTCCTGTCGTCCATGTCTAAAATGGACTTTTCTGCCGCGAAAAACCAACTTTTGGTGCCAGTGACTTGGAGCAGGTATTTACTGAAGTGCTGAAAGACTAAAATGTGGCTCGGAAGGTGTGGTAACAGGGTGAAGAAACTGGGAGCCTGACCTACCATTGCTAATATGCATCGCTTAATGATAACACTCCTTTGTCACATTTTCATGTTTTCACCATAATTTGGTGAACAGTAATTTAAATGCTTCTGATGGTGCTACTTCTCACCTCTTGTTTTTTTTCTTCGCCTACTGACTGTCGCCTTATTCTATTGTTGCTTTTTATAGTTTAGGTTGCAAAGTAGCATTGAGCATTTCTTCAATGCGTTTGGTTTTTTCTTCTTCTTCTTTTTGTTTCAGACCTGAGATGGTGGTTGGCTGGTATCACAGTCACCCTGGCTTTGGCTGTTGGTTGTCTGGTGTGGATATTAATACTCAGCAGAGTTTTGAAGCCTTATCCGAAAGAGCCGTCGCTGTTGTGGTGGATCCCATTCAGAGTGTAAAAGGAAAGGTACGTGTTGCTTGCTATTAAGAACTGAAATTGAAAGCCTTGCAAGTGGAATCACTCTGGATTTTCTCATATGGAATAAATTTTGGAGATCACGTTGGGTTGAAAGGGTCCCCTTCTACAAGAGAAAGGTAGCCGTGGAAGGTAGGATCCTGTGAGTGGAAGGTAGGATCCGGTTTCTCGCATGAACTGTTGCCACCACTGCTCCAGAGTGTCTGCCAATCTTCAGGAACAGTTGTTGTTTTTTTTAAATGATACCCATGGGCTTCTGCAGCAGCAGCAGGAGGAAGAAGGCTGTGTTCTGCTAGTGCAACTCTTTGGATTCAACCCCTGGCTGCTTCATAGCTTCTCTAGATTTTTAAATTAAATGTAGCAAAGGAAATTTAAGATTGGAAACATAGGTCAACTTGGCAGTAAATGTGGGATAATGGCTGTCTCCCTTCTGTCCTTTGCTGTTGAAGAACTGTCTTACGCTTATGGGTGGCATTTTTTTAAACTGTAGCTATAATCTTAAACTAGAAAATTATATTTAAACTCTTGTACAGGTTACTCTTTAGTGAACGTATTTAGGGTCGGGCGCTGTGATTGATAAACAGAAGTCCTTTGTGCTTTGGCGATAGTTCAGGACAGTAAAATTTTAAGCAAACAGTGAAATCCTGGTAAGTTGGGCTGGATGCAGCCCTTTCCTACATAGCAAGAGCGCTTTTATTTTATAGAGATGGTGCACAACACTTATGTGCTTCAAATGTTTCGGAATAAAAACTTTTCCCCAAAGACTTCACAGCCATTCACGTTTAGGGTAGTTTGCAGATGAATGATTATGTGAAATCATTATGAAAAGAGATTAACTTGCAAAGCATATTGGGTTATAGTTTGTCCTTTGTTGAAATCTCTTTTGTTCTTGTTTGGTTCTTTTTTTTATTTATTTCTAGCCCCATATGCCATTTTCCTATTTCCTGCCTCATGACAGCAGGGAGCAGCTCTATTATCACCTTCACAGAGCTGTCTGCAAATGTGAGAGGCAATTCGATTTTGCTCAGCCACAGGGAGAGTGGATTAGAAAAACTACAGAACATACAGAAATTGGCTAGGTGGTTACTGCTTTAAAATACTGCTGAGGTGTTTTGTTTGAGCATGCTCTCCTATTGTATTGTGGAATATCCGTTCAATTAATAATATGTATGACATTTATATGATTTTATAAATATTTTAAGGGTTTAAGTTTTTCCATTCATAGTTCAGTGGCGTTAATGCAGGTAACCAGCTCAAACGACTGCTGCCTTTTATGATGTGATAATATTTTAGCTTGAATATGATAAAAAGAATATAAACGTCATTTCATTAAATGAAGTTCTCTTCTCTGCACGCCAGTTAATTTATTTTTAAATGCAAAAGTTGAGATGTAAAACATGTGTCTGTGGGGATGTCCATGATTTAAATAACATCTCCCTTCCAAAGAAGCATTTTGATAGCTTTCTGGAGCAAAGAGTCACCACTAGATTTTGTCTTGCTTTTGGGATTTCCCTTCTGATTCAGAACACCCTGCCATGATTTTCGTGTGTGTGTGTGGGGGTGCTGTTTTTGAATACTTATAGCTCCATGTGACTATATTTTTTTAGCCCATTCCAAGTAATCTTCTATAGTGCACATTAAGAATGTGTTGAAAGAACTAAAGTCTTGTTCATCACAGGTTTAATTGGTGCCTTTTTGAATGAGTGGGAGAGAATGAAGTAGAGTTTCTCAATATTAATCAATCCTGCCCAGCCCTTGGAAGTTTTGAGCATCTTAAGGGAAATCGTGCGGTTTAGAAGTGTCTCTCCCCCTTCCCCCAACACATCTAGGCTTGTGTCTGGCTCTGTTCACAGCCATTTCTCTTCTTCACAGATATGGGTAATATAGTCTTATGTCTGGTTAAAGCCTGTGAGATGCAGTTTGTTTTGCATTTGCAGTGGGGTAGGAGAGGAGGTGGTATGGATTTGATGGTTTAAGATGTGGTTTTGGATTTAAGTGACACAAACAAAAGTCATGGTGGGAGACGCTTAGATAGACCACCAGAACTTTGGATCACCACTTGTTGCTGAAAAGCATGCTGCATAGTAGTGTGTAATTACCAATTTGTATAGTTCTGATTTTTCAGTCATTGTGTAGCCATGACAGTTTGAAGCATGATTGTGTAAACCTTTTACAAAGCATCATGCAGAGACATCATGGAGGATGGGGCTATCGTTAGCTACTAGTCATGAGAGATCTACTTCCTCCATATGCTTCTTTATAACAGTTCCTGGGAAGCATGGGCAGGACATTGCTGTTGCAGTTATCCTGCTTGTTGTGGGCTTCTTAGAGGCAGCTGGCCAGCCACTGTGTGAACAGAATGCTGGGCTAGATGAGCCTTTGGTCTAATTCAGCGTGGGTCCTCTCATGTAATTGTGACTTGATCGTGTAGTGTGAACAGCACTGGTCAGGAAAGGGGTTGGGGCTCCGTTAGGGGTGACAGAATTCTCAAGGGCTTCATTCCTATGGAGGAAAGTAAGCTGTGTTTGTCTAGGGGGACAGGTTCCCTGAACTTTCCCAGAGGACTGGATAACTATCAAGATATAGTGTGGTGTGATAGCGTTGGACTGGGATCTGAAAAGTTCCTGTGTGATAGTGATCACACACTCTCAACCTAGCCTACTTCACAGGGTTGTTCTGAAGGGAATGATATAAGCCACATTGTGTCCCCAATGAGGAGAAAGACAAGGTATAAGTAAAGCAAATAAATAAATAGATTGTGGCTCGTTGGGTACACTTATTTCAAACACTGGTAGAATAGTAGAAAAAGTCGAGTCTCTTCCCAGCTGCTGTGCAGTGCATGAGAAAAGAGAGAGAAAAGTGTTCTTCTTTCTCGCCTCTTCTAGGTCACATGTTCTTTGATTTTTTGTCATGTGACTTGTTAGTAAAGTGTACTCAAGTAAGTTGATCCAGATGGTGACAACTTATGGTGTAGACATGTCCAAGAGCACTGACAAGGCCAGCTTCAGTTTGGATGAATGGACTGTGGTGGTTTCCATCAGATAAAATGGATCTCATGAAAGTGTACCTATTCTGTATCAGACAAGCTCCATAGAGATGTGCTTACCTTTTCTCTCTGACTTGCTACCTGCAGTGGTAACAGGCTGTGCTTTACCCCCCCAGGCAGCTTCAAGCCTACCTCCAAGTAGAGGCTAATAGTCTTCGACAGATTCATATTGTTTTCTTTCCCTCTTCCTCCGCCTATGGAGAGGAGTGATAAGTGGAGTGCCTCAAGGATCTGTCGTGGGACCTGTTTTGTTCAACATCTTCATAAATGATTTGAATGAAGGAATAGAGGGAATGCTTATTAAATTTGGAGAAGATACTAAATTGGGAGGGGTAGCAAATACAGTAGAAGACAGAGTCAGGATACAAGATGATCTTGACAGGGTGGAAAACTGGGCTAAAACAAATAAAATGAATTTCAGTGGGGATAAATATAAAGTTCTGCATTTAGGTAGGAAAAATCAAATGCATAATTATAGGATGGGGGAGACTTGTCTTGGCAGTAGTATGTGCGAAAAGGATCTAGGGGTCTTAGACCATACACTGAACATGAGCCAGCAGTGTGATGCGGTAGCTAAAAAGGCAAATGCCATTTTGGGCTGTATCAATAGAAGTATATTGTCCAGATCACGCAAAGTGATGGTATCGCTTTACTCTGCTCAGGTTAGACCTCATCTAGTTTTGGGCACCACAATTTAAGAAGGATGTAGACAAGCTGGACCATGTCCGGAGGGGGGCAAACAAAGATGGTGAGAGGTCTGGAGACTATGAGGAAAGGTTGAAGGAGCTGGGTATGCTTAGCCTGGAGAGGAGGCGACTGAGAGGTGATATAATAACCATCTTCAAGTACTTGAAGGACTGTCATATAGAGGATGGTGCAGAGTTGTTTTCTGTTGCCCCAGAAGGTCGGACCAGAATCAATGGGTTGAAATTAAATCAAAAGAGTTTTTGGCTAAAAATTAGGAAAAACTTCCTAACAGAGCGTTTCCTCAGTGGCTCCTCGGGCGGTGGTAGGCTCTCCTTTTTTGAAGGTTTTTAATCAGAGGCTAGATGGCCATCTGGCAGTAATGATGGTTCTGTGAATCAGCAGATCATGAGAGGGAAGGCAGGAAGGGTTGCATCAGTTCTCATGGTCCTTTCTTATACACCCAGGGAAATTCTGATTGCCACTTTGGGGTTTTTCTCCAGGCCAGTTTGGGTGGGAATCCCAGGTGTTGGGGGTTTTTTTGGGGGGGGGGTCATCACTGGGTATGTGTGGGGGTATTTATGAATTTCCTGCATTGTGTAGGGGGTTGGACTAGATGACCCTGGAGGTCCCTTCCAACTCTATGATTCTAAGTAATGACATCTAATTGCTGCTTCCTTGTAATCTCATACAATGACCCTCTGGATGTAGAATTTCATGCAGGGTGCTTTGTGCAATCCCTGTTCCCCCCCCCCCGCCTGATTGTTTTCTATAAACCCTGTTTCTTCAGTGTCTTCTCCCAGTGTGGAATTTGCCACCCTTGTCCTTTTTCTGTTGTTTTGTTAACAGCACATATGACATGGTATAAAGTTAAAAAACCAACCACACTAGATTGTAATTTCGTATATTACATCACTCCATGCACAGAGTTGCTATTAAAGGGGATGATGCTTTTGCCTTCATCCCCTGTCCTTCTCCTTTTCCCTCCCAGAATATTTTCCCTCCCCCCAAAATGTGTACTTTTCTTGCGCACATCGGAAGATAGCGTGCATGCTTCAGGTTTACTTCTATTCTCTGGTTTATTTCTATCCACTGAGTTCTCTTTTCCACCTCCCTTTACATTTTTCTTCATTTTTAACCTGCCTTTTTGCCTAACAATATAGAATCTGTTTTAAAAATACTGACCTGAACCCTTTAAATGGTCAATAAAGCGGAATTCACAGAAGGGGCTCCTGCCACTTCTCTCTTCCCTCGGGAGTCC